AAGACCCCATCTCAAAAAAAAAAAAAGTTTGTTTGAAAGGTTCACTGTTGGAGGAGAAAGTCTCCCCTATTATGGTGGTATCAGGCTAAGCTACCACTGGAGTATGAGCATTATAAAATAAAATAGTGACAAATGACCAGGGGATACAGTAGGTGCAAAAAGAGCAATCACCAAGTAGCAGCAATGATGAAAACAGGGGTTACTGAATGAAGTTGTTGTGCCAGGTATTGTCTATTGGCACTGGCATCAATTTTCAACCTTTCCTCTCATTTTCACTGTGTCACAGGGGAAGAAGATTAAAACTACATTTCCCAGGCTCCTCTGTAGATACAGTTTAGGGTGATTTTAGATTCGGTCCATGAGATCCACTTACATTCGATTTGAAAGGTGGAAGGCTTACTGTGGAAGGGAGTGGGGCGGATAGGTGAGCACCAGCAGAGATGAGTGCTTGTGGCAGATAGAGTCCATAGTCCATCATCTGGTCCAGTGTGGGGGATGTGGGGATGACACACCAATAGTAGCAGTAGATGCAGTTTCTTGATTTCTAGGTTGTAGGTAGTGGAGTGACCTCAAAACCAATTGTTAAATTGCAGCCCCTAGTTGCCCTGCACCTTCAGCCTTTCCAGTGATTTTGTAAGCACCGGGTTCTCTGTATTAAATTCTTTTCTTCTTGGAATACCTACAGTGGTAAGGCGGACTGGCTGGCTGTTCACCAACCTATTTTCTTTTCTCCTGTGTACCCATCAACTATATGTTTCCCAGCCTTCCTTACAGCTAGGCATTACCCTATGCTAATGGATTGTGAGCAGAAATGAACCTTTCAGGTCAAACCTAAACCAACCTCTCACATAGGCTTCTTCATCATTCTTTTCCTTTCTAGCTGTTTGATGCAAATGAGCACAGTGACCTTGGAAGCTATATGTGGAGATGGTGATAACATGAGATGGAACTAGCCTGAGTCCCTGACTCACTGCTTGGAAGATAATCATCTTGGAAGAGAAGCTCTCTCCCATTGTGGCAGCACCAGACAAAACCACAACTGGGGAACGAGGGGGGAAAAGGGTGTTGGGATGAGAGAAATGCTAAAAGAAGCAATGACCAAGGACAAAATGATGAGAGCAGTGGTCACTGAAGTGAGGGAGAAAAAAAGAAACCCACTTATGCCAAGTCACTGAGACCATGAGATTTATCTAATAAAGCAGTTAGCAGCTCCAGTTAAAAGATGTAGTTTCTGTTCTTACACTGAACCCTGACAACAGCCAAACAAGGTGAAAGAGAAAATTACAGGCAATATTGATATAAAAATATTGTTGGTCACAACCAAAAAGAACACATGAGTTGGCAGAATCTAAAAAGAGAAGAGATTTGGTTAACTATGTGAGGCAATTGATATGTTAATTCACTTAATGATGGCAATTATTTAACAATGAATACATATATCAAAGCATCGTGTTGTATACCTTGAATATATACAATTTTTGTTTGTCAATTTTACCTCAATAAAGCTGGGGGGAAAAAGAGAAGACTTGAGAAAGTTGAAGTTACTATAAATTTGATGGATGGAGGTAGAGAAATCAAATTCCTTTGATGGTATAGAAACCCTGGGCCCTATTCATTCTTTCATACTCATCCTCTGCCACCCTCCACATACACTGAGCTCTAGAAAAACCCCTTGGAAGTCCTCATACATACCATAGGTCTTTCCTTAATAGTCCTCGGAACAGCCGAGGTCTGAGAAACCCTTCTACAGCAGAACTTTTGGCTCCAAGAGGTTCAGGGTGCCACCCAAGAAATCTCCCCTTTGGACAAACTGAAGGCCATCTTTCCCTACTGGACCTTGATTCCAAGGGCTATTCCCCCTGAATAAGTTCCAGGAACATATGCAGATCTCAGAGACAAGTGGGCGCATCCCAAGCTACAGATGTGGGGCCTGGCAACTGAACTGACAGCTCAAATAGCATCTCTTACCCACGAGCCAGGCCAGCTGGTCTGTTCCACTGACTAAAAGCATGCCTTAGAAATGTGCCTGCCTTTTATTTTCTGATGTGTCACAATTTACTCTTTTGTTGTTCCGGAACATTCTGGAGCACAGGAGGCTAATCACCCTCCCATAGCATGACATCTGTTTGAGATGACTGAAGGCTCAGGCACAGAACCTCCCAATGTCATCCTGAAGGCAGCCCACACAGTCACAGGACAGAGGATGAAGCTCTCCCATTCAGTGGTTCATGAACAAGAAGGGGAGAAAAATAGACCCTTTAGATTGGCGATATAAATAAACCTTAAGAGGTAAATATATTTTACTAAAAGTGGAGTACAAAGTAAATACCCATGCATGTTCTGAAAAGGCCAATACCCATGTGGACTACAGCAAAGCGAGTAGAAAAACATATGCATTTATTTGAGTCTTATCCATAGGGCTTCATGACAGCCAGTCTTCATTTAGGTTGTCAGTGGCCCAAAAGAAATGGGAAACAGGCTTCGTTTCTGCTGCTCACATTGGTCAATCTTTTGGAGTCAAAGCATAGAAAATATCAGCTCTGAGGATCAATCTTGGAGTTGAGGACCAAGAGAGCACATTCTAGCCTTTGGAACTCTTTCATGCCAAAATGGCCCCTGCTTCAAAAAGTCACTAGTTGCAACAGCCATTATAAGGGGAAATGTAAACTTGAATCCCAGTTAGCTTTATATCTTGTCAACCCAATGCCTATTCTGAACCTAAAATTCAAAATGAAAAACAGAGATTAAAAACTCATCATAAAGGGCAGAACATGGGCCAAGGACTTTCCTAGACACTTTATATACTTAATATCATTTAATTTACCCAACAGGCCTGTGAGGTAGGTGGTTTTTCTTTTTTTTTTTTTTTTTTTTGAGATGGAGTCTCACTCTGTTGCCCAGGCTGGAGTGCAGTGGCGTGATCTCGGCTCACTGCAAGCTCCACCTCCTGGGTCCACGCCATTCTCCTGCCTCAGCCTCCCGAGTAGCTGGGACTACAGGTGCCTGCCACCATGCCCAGGTAATTTTTTGTATTTTTAGTACAGACAGGGTTTCACCGTGTTAGCCAGGATGGTCTCGATCTCCTGACCTCATGATCTGCCTGCCTCGGTCTCCCAAAGTGCTGGGATTACAGGTGTGAGCCACCGCGCCCGGCCCTAGTTTTATTCCATCTTACAGAAAAAGACACTGAGTCTCACAAAAGTTAAGGCACCTTCCCAAAACCATACCACATGCAAGTAGTAGGACCAAGAGTCAAATCCATTTTGCATGACTCTGAATCCTGTGCTCATAACCACTCTATACAATGTTAATTAATATCCTGTCTCACCTGGGTAGGGATGCTTGTGGTACAGGAGTGAAGACTGGAGAACAAACCTTCAACAAGCCTGGTAACAAGAAAACCTCATGCTTTGGGAGCGCTACCTGGTAAGTTTGATTGGTGCACAGATTTAGACCCCTCCCATGGCCCTACAGGCCACTCGGGAACACTTACAAGGGCAGTAGGTCATCACAGCTCTCCATAATCCCCTACCCAACCCCAGGAAAGATAATGAACAATGCAGGGAACCCCAAGAGCAGTGGTAATGCCCAGTTCTCCTCTGGGGTAATTTGAACCGACTAATTCCCTTGTTGAAGAAGGCAGATTCAAAAGCCTATTCACTATATAATTCCATGTCTATGACTTTGGGGGAAAAGCAAACTGTAGGTATGGGAAACGGATCAGTGGTGGCCGGAGCCTGGAGTGTGGGGGTAGGAGCTGACTATAAAAAAAAAAAACACACAAGAGAACATTTCACGGAGGATGGAAGTGTTTTATTTCCTAATTGTGGTAGCCTTTACACGACTATCCACTTGTCAAAACTCATTGAATTGCGCACTTAAAACTGGCAAGTTTTATCACATGTGAATTATATCTTATGTAATTTATGTTTATAATATATATATATATGTAAATTTCAAACAGGCGGTAGCTGATGAATCTGGAGCTAAAATTTCCATTGTGTAACTGCACTGCAGTAAACCCAGGAGTCTGAATCCCTGAGTCCTTCAACCTTCCCAGCAGGGAGATTTCCTGCAGGCAGTCACTGCAGGCTGATACACCATGTCCAGTGGGAAAGAGGCTGGGAAGTGAATTTTTTCAGGCAAATGCTTCTGTAGCAGTTCAAATGAGAAGCTGATTGCTAGGGTTACCTTAGCTTCCTGTCTCCTTTCCCGAATGTTCAGAGGTCATACTGTGTACTTGGTACAAAACATTCATCTGGAAAACCGCCTAGAGCCAGATTAAATATAACATCCTGGTTTTTAACTTGTATCTCACATGACATACATGTCTTTATCTTCATATCTTGTTGCATTTTGAAGGCCATACCTGTCTCTACACTCAGCCCTGAAGAGATAGGGAAAAATCTTACTAAAATACTAAATATTATAGCTGCCATCTGTCTCAAAAAGCTTGGCAAGGATCCAAAATGAGCATTTCAGTAAGACTAACTACATCAGCCCAGTGTGTCCTTCCAGCTGTAGGTCACCTGTCTTCTTACACATTCTCTTTGGTGAAGGTACTTCTCCTCCTGGTACAGCCAGTTAGTCCTTCTGCTTTCTGCCCAAGTCCTCCTGTCTGGGGAAGATCCAGAGGCTTCTGATCCATGTTAATAGCTCAATTGGAAAAGGAACATAAGCCACATAAATGTAGTCTAGCATTGGAAATAATCAGATCAGTCATGCAAATTAATAAGTACATAAGGTCATATCCCAAAAGATAATAGGGCAGTCTTGTACAATAAAAGCTGCCAGAAAGAGTGGATTTTAAAGGGAAAGAAAAACTAAAGAGCCAGGCTAACTTTGGACTCTTATAAAAGTTATTGATATGATCTGTTTTTAGGTGTGCAATCTCCTGGCACTAGTGTTTGGGAGGTAGCCATTCTCTGAACCTCATTGAAAGATATGGGCTACTCCGTTAAGAGCATTAAAAAATATTAAAAAGTAAATAAAACAAACGATGACTTTTTTCAAGGCACATTTTAAACATTTATTTTACAAAGGGGAGTAAAGCATTTAAATAGCCAATTCTATAGACTGGGACTTGAACATCAAAGGAAAAACAGACAAAGACCAGACGATAAAGTCATTCAAAAGCACGGAAGCACATCACATACACCAGCAAGTTTCCCAACTACTGCACTGATTAACTAGATACTCTCAATAGCTTTTCTATAGCTTGTCCTAGAAAGAAAAAAAAAATTGAATTTTCATTTTCTTACAAGTTCCAGGCTTAAACAAAGGCAAAAATGACATGCAACAATTGATATGCTCATAAGTCGCACATATGCGCCAAGGTCTTTATTATGTAACAATAAATGCTAGCACTTTATCGCTGCCATCAGATTTTCTTATAGTCTTAGAGCCATGTAAATAAAAGTTCATGATGAAATCAAAGAAAATTAATTTTTCTAATCTTAGATCAGTTCCATAGAAAACTATTAATTTTTTTACCGCAGGCAGTAGAGAGGGGGTGGGGGACGGGAATTGGTTAGTAAGTCTGGTTCTAATCTTCTGAGCTGCCTTTGGAAGGAAGTTATGAGGTAGAGGGTTCTACTGACTTTTAGTTAGGTGGACAATGAGAGAAAAGAAAAAGCAGGTGCCTCATCTGCAGATCCTTCTGGGATTTATCTGCCATGTACAATTTAATGCATAAAAAGGCCTCCCTCCGTAAAACTCAGCACTTTACAGACGTAGAATATATAAGCATGCCAAATTTACTTATCTGCCACAAACAAAGCATCATTCCAGGTGCTAGTGAGGAAAAAAAAAAAAAAAACTTGGTGATTTGGTCCCTCAAGGAGCTCCAGATATTAATCTACCTAACTAAGCCCCCAGGTTCCTTCCAGGCATGAAATAATTAGTGGGACTCATGGATGAGGACTGGTCACTGGGCAATCTTTCCTGTACAAAGGATCCCTAGAAGTCATACTGAGTTCTCTTTAAGTTCCTTAATTCCTAATTTAAGGCTTCTAGTGAAGCCTCCTCATGGTAGGCTTCACTAGGCCCACAGTGCCCCTAGAACTCTAACAATCCTACCCTAGACAGACTTTATTGGAAAATGCACCTGAAGAGGCATTTTCTTGCCTGAAAAGCCATCTGAAGATGGCTCCCAAGAGAACTCACCAAATCAAGACAAATGTCCTTGGTCTCTAGTGTGGTAGAACTATGCACCTAAATATTGCTGCAAAAAGAACACACTTTTAGACACCCCTGCAGATATCTAAGTAAGCGGAGAAGACTATTTTTTCAACATACATTTTATTTCTCTTTCACCCTAACTCCTACAGCTTACTGGGGGTTCTGCAAGAAAAAAAGATCATAATTCAGAAGGTAACCATCATTATAGACATAAAGTTTCCGGTCAAAAGGGTTATAGTTAATGCTCTGCACTATTTCCTGCATCTTATGCACTACAATGTCTAGTTTGCCCTCTTTCCCTGTGTTTGTGTTATAATAGTAAAAAATCTCTTCTGTTCTGGTGTTCAGAGTACGGGTGGCATACAGAACCCCACATACCATGAAGGCATTAGAAGCAGATGGTTTATACTGCTTGGTATACCAAGTGTTTAGCACCTGAAGTGTGGTGTCATTGAGTTTACTAATCACTATGTTACCAGTGCTGGCTTCAGTTGAATAAATCACCCACAATCCATTCTCATCCACAGCAAAGTCAATATCTTGCCAAGCAACATTAGCATATGAAAAACGGTTATTATAGGCAGCATTAGGGAGAGTTTGAGTCACAGCAATCGTGTTGGTGGTCAGGTTAACTCTGGCAATATTCCTGGTGTTGTACATGTTGATGTACATGTTGTTGTTGTAAACTGCTGTACCACTACCTTGGCCATAGGTGATCTGCAACTCACGAGCATTTACGTACAACAGCAAATCATCCAGTGTGTTGTACAGTCTGTAATACTCCAACAGTTTCCCATCTGTATTCAGTGGTGCCACCCAATATAGTCCTTTGTTTGGATGCTGGGGAGAGTAATCCTTACCCCAAGCACCATACCGATAAGAAAACCCTCTCCAGTTGAGCTGAACCACAGACGGTTTGCTGATGTTCACCACACCACCATGATCACAGCTCCCTATACAAACAAGAAAATAAAAAGGCATTTTTAGAGAAAAGGAACGACAGGATACAAGTAGTTTAATATCCTAAGCACCAAAGGAATCTATAAATATTTTTCCTGTCAAGGTTCAATAACATCAGTGGTTCTGATGGAGAAGAGCCAAACCTCCTCTTAGTTCAGTGCATTCAGTCTCAATGCAAACCCGATGTCACTCTACAGAGAACTACCTTCTGTTTCCACGGGTGGGCTTTCAATCTGGAAAATAGGAATAATGAAACTGGCAAGAACTATATTTAAAATGTTTGGAGGCCCAGAGAGAGGAAAAGGAGACTTGGTGAATTTAATATATTTCCTTCTATCAGAAAGCATTTTGCAAATATTATCTTATTTCATTTTTCTTACAGCAAAATCAAGAAAGCAAGATTATTCCACAATCCTACCCTATTTCTATAAATCCACAAGATGTTATTCACTAGGATCAGCCCCAGAAAGAATTGTGATGAAGAAGAAGGTTTTCCCAGGCAAGGCTTCATGCCCTTCCTCGTTCTCCCCTTCCTTGGGACCCCAACTGCACATCCATGCCAGGTATCAATCCTGCTTTAAGCTATTCTCAGAAGAGGACGTTTTAAATATAGCATTTTATAGATCCAGAAAGATGGTCCTATAATGGTGGGATTTAGAACTTTAGAAGCCATAAAGTTACTTCTAAAGTAATCTCTTTAGAGATTTAGAACTTTAGAAGCCATAAAGTTATTTTGGGGCAACATTGCCTGCTCTGTACCCAATGCACAGCCCATCAAGAAATCACTTGGTGACCGTCCTGCTGCAGAGTTACAAGGTGAGTCCTGCCGTTCATTACCCATATGCTATTGTGCCATAGAATGACATGCAAGTATTTCATCTTTCCATCCAGACACTGTCATTGTCACAATGTGTACAATCAAGTGGGACAAGATTCTCTGGTCCACTGAATCTACATTCTCTGTAACACTTGGGTAAATGACTCAGTCTGGGCGATCAACCCTTCACATTGTACTCCCACTGAAATGCCTGCCATCCCAGGAGTTTATGGGCTATAAAAATAAAATAAAGTTCCTCTAGTATTTTTATAATAACTATCCAAAGAGTTGAACACACGTTTTCTGGGATCTTAACACTCAAAAAAAAAAACTCGTGAGATAGTTTATTGGATAACAAAGAACACCCAACTTCAAGTATATTTGAGGTCATTTTCCCTCGTCCTGCTGCTCAGAGCAGAGCAGGTGAGACAGAAAAGGAGCAGAACCTAAATTGTTGGATCTGGCTTGAAATGCTTGCAGGGACTCAGAGAGCCATTGAGGAATATGAGGTGAGCTGGAGCCAAAAGCAGAGCTCCAAAGAATTGCCTGAGATTAGCATGGAGGCTGGGAAGGGAGAGCAAAGCCTTTGTCTCTGGGTCTCTGCTGTGTCCAATATGCAAAGACCCATTCCTTTCCTTGCTAAATGCCTTCCCTCCCCATCCTCCTCGCCCAAGGACTGCTCAAAGGTGAAACCATTACTAGAAATTCTGTTTTTATTTTTCCAATCTGCTGGGGCTTTTTGGTCTCAGAATTAAATATGTGTTCCTTAAATGGTCTCATAAATCTGCAGTTGGTGAGAAAGCCAGCCAACCATACAACAGGTAGAGAAATGAAACCACTCTGTACCCAACCTCAAAATAATTTTGCATATCATTAAGCAGAACACAGTCGCAGGTTTATTTTAATAATGCATGTGCCATTTCATAAATAAAAAAGCAACGTGTGTTCAGCCAAGAGACTATTCTCCACTGAAGAAATAATAAATAAAATTATAAATTATTATTTCTTCTACTAAAAGTGATCTCTCAGATGAATGCTTGTTTGCTTTTGTTTATGAAATAATGCATGAATTATTAAAATAAAGTTAGTGGTGTGTTCAGTTTAATGATAACAAAAACTATTCAAGTTTCCATATGCTACAAACTGGATTTTCTAGTTAAAGTATCTTCCTGAGAACTTGTTTATTTAACTACATTTCACTCTGAGGAAAGTCACTTTTTTTCTTTCAGGTTGGAAGATAGAATTGTTTGCTTCGTTGAATCTTGCCTTCCTGAAAAGAAAATATCCCAAATCGACAGCAACAAAGTATTTAAGGAAAATTTATGATGCATATCACTTATTCAAGCACTACCAAGAGGTTAAACTATTCTATCCCTAGATGTGGAAATTTTTAGACATGAAGGACCCAAAATAAACTTCTCAAAAAATTACTATTACTACTACTATTACCATTATACTAATTGCACTATTATTAGTATAATAGTATTAGTACTGTTACTATTGTTACTACTACTACTAATAATAGTGGCTCATCATTTCATAAGTTGACCAGAAAATTCAAATTGCCCAGTGTAAATATTAAAATGTATGAAACTTTCTTTTTCTTACCTCCCAAACATTCCTAAACACTTTCCTGTTCATTTGTTATCCTTCTTTTATCCTCTATGGGTAAGGATAAAGGGCCATTTTTAGGGTCCTGGCTATGGTAGAAAGGAAGCAGAAATGGGGATGAGAACTCAACATTGCTGCCAGTGCTACAAATGTGGCCACAACAATGTCAGACTAGGAAAAATGCTATGGCAGGCTTCCTCGATTCCTGGCAGCAAACCATCTTGGACACGATACTGAAACCGACAGCCCAGTTCCCACTCTTCCTCAGAGTCCCCATCCACCCATCCCATCTTCACTGAGCTTCTTACTACCCTCCCTTATCTCATATTCCTTCCCAGCCTCTTCCTTCATGTCAAGGTCTTAGACATACTTCATTCCATACTTCATACCCAGTTTCCATCCCAACTTCACCCTGACACTTGGGCAACAGCCCATTGCCCAGTCATGATCCAAGAATTCTGAAAGACCATTGAATCATTTTGCATTTTCTGGTGGAAGAGAACACACAGCACAAAACTGTCAGGAGCAGAAGGATCCTTTTACCTACTCCACAAGCAAGGAGGCAAAGATAATTTGGTGTTAAGCAGATAGGTGAGCTGTTGGAATTTTCTTTTCACTCCAGAAACCACAGGTGCACCTCTCTGTTAGAGCATCTACGAAAGGCAGCCTAGTATGAAAAATACTACTAGCCAGATTCTAATTCAAAGCCTGATCCAATAGCAGTTGTGTATCCTTGAGCAAGTTACTTAACCTTCTAAGCCTCAGTTTCCTCATGTCAGAAGAAAAATAATACCAACTCTGCAAAATAGTTATGAAAAATACAGAGAAGGCATGTAAATGTTACTCAGTAAATGCTAAATATCTCAATATAATCACATCATGTTACAACTGGAGGTTTAGATCTCTCCTTTCCCAGATAGTGGCTTCTGGGGGTTTCTTTACTCATGCTGGTAACCCCAGTACCCAGAACAGGGCCAGTCACACAGTGGCACCAAATTATATTTGTGGAATAAAGGAAGGAAAGATTAATCAAACCACCTAAACTCCACTTACCCTTATTTATAAAACACTATGGCCGGGCGCGGTGGCTCAAGCCTGTAATCCCAGCACTTTGGGAGGCCGAGACGGGCGGATCACGAGGTCAGGAGATCAAGACCATCCTGGCTAACACGGTGAAACCCCGTCTCTACTAAAAAGTACAAAAAACTAGCCGGGCGAGGTGGCGAGCGCCTGTAGTCCCAGCTACTCGGGAGGCTGAGGCAGGAGAATGGTGTAAACTCGGGAGGCGGAGCTTGCAGTGAGCAGAGATCCGGCCACCGCACTCCAGCCTGGGTGACAGAGCGAGACTCCGTCTCAAAAAAAAAAAAAAACACTAGCCTTCCACCCTGCTACATATCTGGTTTTTCAAAAAGCCTGGTATTTACTCCATGGAACATAATTTAAGGAACCCTCTATACAAGTTTAGCCTTGATTGGCACTCTCTTCATCATGCAATTCATTAGATGGCACCATGGTTCTCTGAAAATATCTGAGGAAGCCATAATCATGAGACTTTAAAATATTCTGACTCGGCTTTTTTAAAGTATCATGGTTAGTAGCATTTTTTAAAGCCAATGATTCTATGCCTGCAGAGGAAAATTAATCTTGGATCTGTTAATGCACTCTCTCAACTGGGCAACTGAACTTGGTTTGAGCCAGGAGGAGAATATGATTGACTTATAAGAATTAGGCAATTAAAACAATCAGTCACAAAATGATTAAGACTGAATTGACTCTGAAGTGTTGGATATATGCTGTTCAACACGTGGCTCTTCCCTAAGCTTGAGATTTTAGCAGATCACCCCATTTCTTTCAGACCCCATTCAATCATCAGCTACTTACGGAGCATCACTAGGCACCAGCATAGAACCTTGCATCCCCAAGCAAAATGGAGATCAATCCCTGAGCACTCCGATCACATTTGGCCTATATGCAGCCATTTAGATTCACAGGCAAAACAGAGACAGACTGAAGTTTGAAGGGAAAAAACGTTAATGAGTAGAAGGCCAATTATTTTAGATTAGAAAGTTCTATGAAATGAGGCAGAAAAAGGGTGTTGTTTGTAGCAAAAACCAAATAGAAAGCATATTTGATTGAACCTGGGATACATTCACTTGTTCTAAGTTCAAGCTGACCACTGGGTGAGCAAACTGTAGCTATGAGGGAGGGGGCCCAGACTGCACAGAGTTACTTTAGAGCTGAGCCTTGCATATCGTCTTTTTTATTCTGTGCAAACTCCACAGTGAAAAAAGCAAACAGGCCAGATTTTAAGGTCCCATAATAGGGAGTAACTTTAATTAAAGTCTCCACAGGCTCACAAGTGTGTGGTGCCTGGGGATTTTCCAATTCTGCATTATCAACCACTCCAAACAGAAAGAGAGCAAGTGAAAGAAATTGATTTAAAAACATGACCAAAAGTCAGTTTAATATAAACATCATAAATATAATATGAACAAAGCTGGAAGAGAGCCAGGTGGCTTGGCAGGGATTCAGGTACAGTCAAGGTTGTGGGAAAGTGAGTGAAAATCTGGGTCCAATTTGCTTAAACAACACAGCTGGGTTAGGATGGATCACAGAAGTCTAAGTGTGAGGGCCTAGGGGAAAGTTCTGGGGGAAAAAAAAAAATCCAACAAAAACAACCCAACAGGCTCACTTGTTTTCTTCCCTGGGTACTAAGCGATACATTTTCTCCCCACCATTGTCCTTGGATTGCTGGTGCCTGCCACCCTCAGTCCTGAGCTGAACAGGAAGCAAAGACCCTTGTCTTGCACCTTCTGCTCTGTCTTTAACTACTTGTGTGGCCTCAGGAAAAGCAGCATCCTTACTATCCAAGTCTTCTCCTCTGAGACAAGATGGGGCTAAGTGAGATGGCCCTGAATATTCCTTCATCTAAAATGTCCTCATTCGAAGGGATGCATAGAAAATTGTGCCAGAAAAATCCATTCCATGAGGAAGATTTGCAAGGGGTGTTGGGGAGCTAGTTCAGGTATTATCAGTTGTTGTCACTGCTTCAGCCTCTGCCTCAGTGAGCCCTCTGTGGTCCAGCAGAAACAGTTCTCATTTGCTACATTTTTGCACCACTAATCCCAGACTAAATTTAGCCTTAGTTTATTACAGAGGACAGACCATGCTGTCTGCCCTAAACCTCCTCTGCAGGTTGAGAAATTTGAACAGTTGTTCAAATTTATGTTACTTCCTTTCTGGAGAAGTTGAAAGGCCATTTTGTTCTGGGGCAGGATTCTGACCATTAGATGACACCTGTTGTAGTAGGATAGACTCCTATTTGTAGAGGGAGGAAAAAGATCCGCCTGAACAAGACCAAGAGGCTTATATCCATGGCTATACCTATTTAATAATTGAAGCCTTAAAAAATCAGTTACATTGACAAGAATTCAGAAACACAACCTAAAAGAAAGCAGGTGTGAGGATTGGAATTAATAAAAATAAAAGGGTTGCATGATTTGATGAAAAGATACAGTCCCCATTCAGGCTAAGATGCTCAGGACCTGCAGAGAGAAAATCCCTGTGTCATCGATATCTCTAAAGGACGGGGCTGAACGCTGTGGCTGAGAGGCTTTAGTTTACCTGGAGGGATGCATCGCAGGGCACAGTGATCTGGCACTGCTTTTGTTTTGTTGCAAGGTTTTCGCTTCAATTATCAACATTATTAATAATATCCATTGCCAGCGTGTGAATGCCGATCATAAGGCTCTGAGCTTCCCAAGCATTGACTCATTAATCCCCACAGCCACCCTGCAAGGCAGGCACTATTATTCTCCCATTTTACAAATGAGGATATTAAGGATCCTTTTTGCTGCAGCCACCTAGCTGAGAAGCTAAGGTCTTTGGGATTCTAAAGCTATGCTCTTGAACCCTACACTCCCCTGCCTCCATTTACGGGTATATTTGCAGAACACCCACCTCTGTGCTGTACTTAACCCCAGTGGCAACTCATTAGAGACTAACATGCCACCCCTACCCTCCAAGCACTCACAATCCATGAGCAATGGCAAGACACACCCACAAGCACAGGATATGTGGCGTCATTCCTTTAATCCTCACTGAATCTCAGGACACACAATACAGCAGGTATGCAGCATGCATTTATAGAAGAAAAAAGGAAAAATTAAAGAGGAGAAAGGGAAGGAGAGAGAGAAGATGGGAGCATTGAAGGCATAAACCCAGCTCATCAGATAAGTGAGCCAATCAGCCCTTAAATACACAGGAACGTGGATGCCACACACAGATTCCAGAGGCTTTCCCCTGAGGCCCCTGACTGCCTCCCTCACCATAGACATTTCTGTTCCCTGTTAGAAGATGCAAAGAGAATACGTGTAACTTGTGGATTTTGTTTAAATCACTCATTGTTTGTGCTCTTTCTCTGTGAAACCTAGAATATGATAGCATGTAGAATACTCGGGAGGAAGGGACTTTTAAAACATAGAAGAGAAAACTGAGAACTGCAAAAAAAAAAAAAAAGCAAACAAAAAAACAAAAATAAAAAACAAAAAACCACCTTCTTCTTTCACCATTGCGATCCCCAATCCCTTCCCCACCCCACTCACAGCTGCTTATGGGGTCTGGCACAAGTGGTTAAAAAAGTAGCACGCTCACCTGGAGTGGGAGTAGGGTGGACGACAGGGGTGTTTTGACCTTTAGAGGCCTCACACTCTTTCAGCTTGGTCTTCAGAGCCATGATTTCTCGGCGAATGGCAAGGACATTGTTTTTGTCGAGCGTCTCAAGCTTCTCTACCAGGAGAGTAATATTCCTTATCTGAGGAAATAAAAATTCAGAGTGACTTTATATTATGGTGCAATTTCTTTCACAAACATTCCAGGGCTGAATTTGTCATTTAGTGAAACATTGCCAGAGAATACACCAGAGATTCTTCTGAATGGTTTCATTTGGAAGAATACATTTTATGGTTTAGTGTGAACGCCTGTCAGATCTCAGGCAGATGTGTGTGACAAGAAGAAAATGGCAAAGATTTTAACGGCTTTAATAATAGAGCCCAAGCTCATTCTCAGCATCCACAAATGTCCGTTAAAGTTCATTTCTAATAACATTCCCCTATAAACTTGTGTTTACTCATGTTGTATTATAATTAAGATTCTAATGAATGGTAAGGGCCAGAGAAAGCTTAAATTCTAAAATATGTAACTAGAATTCTCAATTATAGCCCATGTCATGACTGTGCTAGTAAATTCTCATTGATATAAATTACCCAACCATAAATGTGATGGTCTTTATCCACAGATCTTAAAAGGCTTCACAGAAATATACAAGAAATTTATTAAAGGAGGTTTCCAGTTTGTGGAGAAGGATTCCAGGTTATTCAAAAGGAGAAACAAACCTAACAAGTTTGCCACAATCAGGTATATTGTGGATTTCCAGTTCCAATCGAGAGCAGAGAAGACACCTCATATAGCTTGGCCATGAACAGTTGTTCAAATTTATGTCACCTCCTTTTCAGAGAAGTTGAAAGGGCATTTTATTCTGGGGCAGGATTCTGACCATTAGATGATACCTGCTCCTAAGTCAGCACGTTTCCAATGTGCTTAAGTTATTATTCAAACGCAGGCCCTTATCCAAAATAGAACATAGTGATATGCCATGTGGCCATGAGAAAGTAGAGAATTAGAAGTTGGAAGAGCGAGTTTTATTTCCTGGTCCTAGTACTTGCTTATAGTCACTGAAGGGAGTTTATTATTAATTTACCAAGAAGTGAGTTCACTCCTTACCTCCACCTCCAGCTGGTCAACAATTTCTGAGCTTCCACCAAAACTCTCCTTCAGCTGTACGACCAGTTTCGCCATCTCCTTCACTTCTACCTTGATCAGCTCAAAGTCCAGTTCAGTGTAAGAAATGGTATCCTTCTCCATGATCTCAATTCGGACAGTTAGGTTTAACAGTTTCTTTTCATACACACTGATTAATTTGACATATTCCTTTACCTGAAAGAAAATCAAAAGGTTCAAGCCAATTCCCTGAGTAGTATCACACCATCTTCTTCCACTACCAAGCCCTTGAGCTGAGAACTATTTGATTCTTGCCAATCATTGTTTTTTTGTAAAGAAATAGATCAAAAATATATTTAACTAGATTTTTAAAATCTATCCATATACAAAGAACTTATTACTCCAATTGAAGGGAGGTAGATTTTATATTTTGCTAGACCAAAAATAATTTTGCGTCAGCATCATCATTTGCAAGTGTACTTTAATCTTCATTTTTTAAAAAGCTTTTAGGTTCGGGGTACATATGCAGGTTTGTTAGATAAGTAAACTCATGTCATAGGGGTTTGTTGTACAGATTATTTTGTCTCCCAGGTACTAAGCCTAGCACCCCAGAGACTTTTTGTTGTTGTTCCTCTCCCTCCTTTCACCCTCCACCTTCAAGTACACCTCTGTTGTTCTCCTCTTTGTGTCCATGTGTTCTCATCATTTAGCTCTCACTTATATGTGACAACATGTGGTATTTGGTTTTGGTTTTCTGTTCCTGTGTTAATTTGCTTAGGATAATGGCTTCCAGCTCCATGCATGTTTCTACAAAGAACATGATCTCATCCTTTCTTATGGCTGCAAAGTATTCCATGGTGTATATGGCCCACATTTTCTTTATCCAGTGTACCACTGATTACCATTTAGGTTGATTTCATGTCTTTGCTCTTATGAATAGTACTGCAATGAGCATACACACCCATGTATCTTTATGGGAGAACAATTTATATTCCTGTGGGTATATACCCAGTAAGGGGATTGCTAGGTTGAATAATAGTTCTTTTTAGTTCTTCGAGTCACCACACTGCTTTCCACAATGGCTGAACTAATTTACACTCCCACCAACAGTGTATAAGTGTTCCCTTTTCTCTGCCACCTCACCAGCATCTGTTATTTTTTGACTTTTTAATGATAGCCATTCTGGACTGGTGTGAGATGGTATCTTACTATGGCTTCGATTTGTGTTTCTCTAACGATCAGGTGATACTGAGCTCTTTTTTCTTAATCTCCATTTTAATGTTTGAAGACATTAGCTCCCCAAACTAAACTGGTTTGTATCATATTCTCTTGCCATCTCTCCTCCTTTCAACACACTTACTCTAATTGTTGGCATTTGGGACTGGATTGTCATTTCTTGTGGCAGTTGTGCTGTGAATTATACAATATTAAGCAGCATCCCTGGCCTCTTGATGCCAGTTGCATCCACCTACTCCCCAGTTATGATAACCAAAAATGTCTCTGGACATTGCTAAATGTTCCCTGGGGACAAAATCATTGCCGCTGCCACCACCACCTCCTTCCATTTAGAACCACGGCTCTAAATCTAAGTATTTTCTAGAAGAGGGAGAAATGCGCTATGCTGAATTCCTTCTTTGATCACCATATGCAATTAGTTTTGATCCCCTCTGCCTTTTACAAAGTGGCATAAAGATCCAACCTACTACACAATATGTGAGTGTGTGTGCCCCGTAGAGTACACATTTCATTAAGTGCACCTACATTTACTCCAAGAACTGATTATTGCAATCAGACCTTTAAATTACACATTTGGTTGCATATATTTGAATGTCTGATCATTAAGTTAAAATACTTCCAAAAATTCCCTTGGCGGTTTAGTGTATAATTGGAATCTCCAAATGGATATTTTAATAAACACAGTTGGTGGTTCTTTCTGTGTCTGATCTCTAAAGAAAATGCCATGGCTTTTTTAAGGACCTGCTCATTAAAAGTTGCTGGCTTTATATGCTTTTTAAAAATTTGAACAGAAGTGATACTTTTCCCAAAACTACACTAATATCAAGTAGCTGATCCACAGTGCCTGGATGAATTTAGAGCCAGATGTTGGCCTCTAATCCTTCTAATACCAAAAGCAATCCTAACTTCTGTCATTTCAGCCCTTCCACTTAACCCCATTGTGCAAATTAAAGTAGACTCATAGACCACAGACCTAAAGAGCTAGGGCTTCAGGCAAAAAGGATTTTAATGAAAGTTGAAAAAACAGCCTTTGGCACTGCTAGTGTATCTCCTCAGGCAACTGATGCTCACTGCCATCGGATGTACCATAACTCGGAGGATGACAAGGCTGGTGATATTTTGGTGGATAGGGAGGTTTAAACATATATACTGCCACCCCTCTGTATCCATGGGGGACTGGTTTCAGAATCTCCCAAGAATAACAAAATTCAAGGATGCTCAAGACTCTGATAGAAAATGGTACAGTATTTGCCTACGATCTACACACATCCTCCCAAATACTTTAAATCATCTCTAGATTACTTATAATACCTAAAATAATATAAATGCTACATAAATAGTTGTTGTATTGCTTTTATTTGTATAATTTCTATTGTTACATGGTGATTTTTATTAGTTTTTTTCTGTGAAATTTTTCAATCTGAGGTTGGTTATATCTGCAGATGAAGAACCAAGGCTATGGAGGGCTGACTGTATATGAAACCTAACAAGTCCCCCTCAAAAGTGCACTGCAGATATAGGACTGCAAGGTTTCAGTGTCTACAAAAATCAGGCATAAAACCTTGACTATGATAAAAATAAATAAATAAAGTGCCAATCCATTACAGAAATGGAAGTTTGAGAAATAAATATGCTTGTTGGCATTTGGCCTTGCCAGCTCTTGGAACAAATGAAACACCCTCAGCTTCTCTGGAACATTTTGGTGGCACATCGCAGCTGTTGTTCTACAAAAATGAGTGATTCAACTGTCATCTCTGCTAAATAAAATGTGGTTCTCCCAGATTTTCACAAAAAAAAAGCAAGGCATATTCTGGAGTTTGTTACCTATAAAAATGTGTGGTGTGCCTATCCTGGTGTAGACAAAATGAAGGGTCTGTACAGATCCATCTGAGGAAAAAAACTCAAGGTTCTTCAGCAGACACTTAAAAGACGCTCAGTGGTGTTCAGGAAAACGGCAATAATCCATGGAGTTAGAGAAGACACAAAAGAGCTTGGGGATGGGCCAGAAAGACTTCAGAGTGTGAACTTCACTAATTTAAGTAAATCATTCATATGAACCTTTCACATATATGAATCTGTAGCTTTGGGAATGCGTGGACAATGCTGAGCACAAGCCATCTCCTCCTGGGAGGTGCAGTCTTGGGAGAGGCAGCCCAGCCTGCCTGGGAGCCTCCAGTCCCACATCCCTGGCACTTGGGGCACTTTCTGCATTTTTTTTCTTCTTCTAGAAAACACAGTTGTTTGTTGCATAACAACATTTTTGTCAATGACAGACCACATATATGACAGTGGTACCATGAGATTATAAATATATTTTTACTGTACATTTTCTATGTTTAGATATATATGCATACACAAAAACTTACCATTGTATTATAATTGCCTACAGTATTCAGTACAGTCACAGGCTGTACAGGTTTGTAGCCTGGCAATAGGCTATATCATATAGCCTGAGTGAGTGTGTAGTTGGCTACACCCTCTAGGTTTGTGTAAGCATACAGTGATGTTCACCAATGTTAAAATCACCTAACGATGTATTTCTCAGAATATATCCCTGTCTTTAGAAGACCTATGGCTCTATTTTGATCTAGAACAGTCATTCTAAATGGAGGGAGGGTGGTAGTGGTGATGATTTTGTCCTGGTTCTCATAACTGGGGGGTGGGCGGGTGCTATCGGCATCTAAAGGCCAGGGACACTGCTAAACATCCTATCAAGAATATGGGTCTAGCCTTGAGAAGACACGTCCTGTATCAACATCTTTACCTCGAAGCTCCTCATCACGACAAGTCTGAGCACTAGACGGCTTATCTATGTTTTAGTTGAGTCTTTAAGCCACCAGCCTAACATTCACAGCTTCCATTTTATTTTGCTTGTTATGCACATACTATGTCATTGATGAGGAATAAAATTTGTGTGAGGGTTGGTTTTGGGGTGCTTGTTATTGTTCCTTATAATTAATGTGGTCTTGTCATAAATAAGGATGTAGTGCTAGTGAGCTAAAGAATTAATCTGGTTCTTGTTTCTGCCAGTCTCTCAAAACCTGTGATTGTAACTATGGCCAGACTATTTGAAATAAGTAAGTTTACTTTGCAACATACTACTGTTTTCAATATATGTTTCAAAGTAAATGTAACAGGGTTCATTGAGCCTGAAGTGATTGTAAAGACATATAAAGCACTTTGGAGCTAGACCCAACTAGACTCAAATCTAACTTCAGGACTTAGTGGGCAAATTACTTAATTTGTCTAACCCTTCGTTTCCTGTAAACTGGGGGTAATGATATTGAGTTTACAAGATTACATAAAGACTACAGATAATGTACATTAAGTGCCTAGCTAATGGAGGCCCTATGAATTATAGAAATTAGTAGAGAAACAGTATTTCAGCGTTTTCAATCTGACCTTTTATTTTCTTTCACTACACAAAATATAGCTCAATCAATGTTGTTTCTTTATGGGTTGCCTTAATGTCTCCTAGGCTGCCTCAACCTTCCCATGCATGAGGATCTACTAGCAAATATGTCATATTAAACAACTTACCCCAAAGACCATAAGCCTCCAGAGAAAGAGAAAATCTTGAGCTGCCTTTTGTGCCATCCCTTTCCTAAGTATAGTCACAAAAGGACATATCGTAAACAACAGAAAAGTATAAAATGCTTTCAGCATCTTATGCAGAGGCAGCTCCCTGTCTTCTCTGCGTACTGACAGATAATGAATCAATGTAAGGCAGTCAAAAACCTTTTCTACTGGCCTGTCCTAAACGGGCATTCTCCCAGGCCCCCAGTTAAATGATGATTTTCAAGGCAACCTAGGGACAGCTGTAATAATTCACTTGGAAATTCGAAAGCCCTCAGCTAAACAGATAACTTTGGATTTGAAGGCATTACTGACCTACTGCAGCTCTTTCTGGGCCTACCCTAGAGGATGCTGACAGCATGGCCAAGAGGAAAGAGAGTTGGGATGATTTTGAAGACTCGAATTCTGACCTGGCTTAACCAGCCAAGAGAGGAATGACCTTGGGCAAGTCTCCTTACCTTTACGAACTGCAGTTTTTCCTTCTCTAAAATGGGAGAGACAACACCTGGCCTATCTGCCTTAAAGGGTTACTTGAAAGGAGAATAGAACTGGAAGCATTTGAAAAAGCACAAACAAACTGCTACTATTATTGTTGTTATTATCACCTGCCACACTAAATAGATTATATAATTCGTAGCTAGCAGATAAACTTTTTCCTTAGGCCACAATCACAGATTTTTTTAGGATCTGAGCAGCCACTGACACATTCAGAACTAAAACTTTTCACCTATTCTGCATTTTGTCCCTACCTGTTACTAGCAAAGCAGATGCTACCAGTCCCCCGTACAGTATTGGAATTGAATGTCCCATATCCACAAACCTGGCAAGCCACATACCCTCCCTGGAGCGCATAAGGTTTCAAACTGCCCTTCACACTGCTGCCAGCAAAGATGACATGTAAATCAGTAGTTCCCACTATTTCAAAGCAAATGACTCTAACTGAAAAAATCTTTACCTAGGATTTTCCTCTACTTGTTATGTTTTTATGCATAACTTCTTATCTGTACTTGATTATGCTGGAATAAGGCTATGAATATTAATGGTTAGAATTTATAATTTAGTGCTGTGCCTTTTCTGCTGATTAATTCAAGGACATTTTATTTCTTAAGCAGCTAGGTTTCTAGAGTAGTCAAACACATTTTCCTGGACACTCATTTAAACTTAGAATATTTATCTACCAATTCAGGCTGAAAGTAGGGTCTCAGCCTCATCATAATTTTTGTTTTAAAGGATAACTATGTTGGATGTTGAGGTGGAAAAGCTTAAATTTCTTAGGAAAACTTATTCTGAAACTTGCAGTAAAGCCAGAGCTCCTTGTAAATTAATGGAGTTGTATTAAATAATGCATAATGTGATTATAGCCTAGCTTGGACTTCACCTGTGCAGAAAATAGGAACTTTTCTAATTGATTTTTAATTTGGGCTGAAAAGGTGGAAGGGGTCAAAACTAGAACACCAAGTCACATTGTGCCAGCCAGCCCAGAGAAAGGCAAACCCTTTAAGATAACTTCCTCTGGCTAAAGAAAAACACAGTAATCAGAGTTCAAGTCAGTGTTTTCACCAAGGCTGAGAAACCTATTAGTCTTGATTCAAATTCCCAGGGAAGCCTTCAATTTTTGTCTGACGTTGGACACATCAAATGTAATGTTCCTGCTGAGACAACAGAAGATAACCATCAAGAAAGAGAGATGGAGGGTGAGGACGGACGTAGGGATGGTTAAAGGGTAAAAAATAAAAGTAGTTAGAAAGAACAAATAAGACCTGGTATTCAACAGCACAACAGGGTGACTATAGTCAGTAATAATTTCATTGTACATTTTAAAATAAGTAAGAGAGTCTAATTGGAGTGTTTGTAACACAAAAGATAAATGCTTGAGGGGATGGACACTCCATTTTCCATGATGTGATTATTATGCATTGCATGCCTGTCTCAGGGTATCTCATGTACCCCATTATTATATACACCTACTATATACCCAGAAAAAACAAAAATTAAAAATAAAGAGACTACAACCTTGGGTTTCACTTGGAGAAAATAGAAAAAAATAAAAGAGACTACAACTTATTGTCACAAAAAAAGAAAGAGAGTGAGGGAGAGAGAGAAGGAAGTGAGCAATTTGTAAAAGGGTTAAAGAAAAGAGAGAGGGAGGGAGGATGATGAGAGGGAGAGGATTTGAAGAGTGGAAGTGGAGGAAGAGGAAAAGAAGGAGGGGAAAAAAAGATCATCTAAAAGTAAGAAAATACCCAAAAATGTCCCCCCCCCCAAAAAAAAAGAATTAACCAGGAAAGGAAAAGATAGATTAGAAGGGATGAATAAGGGCAAGGATTGAGGCAAGAGAAATAAGAAACTAAAAGATGCAGGAATGGAATAGAAATAGAAGAAAAGGAAAAAGAGAAGGGAGATAGAACTAAAGGGGATAGAGGAGAAGAAAAAAAAAGAAATGAAAGCTTGAGGAAAGATCTAGAAGATCAAAAGGAAGAAGCAGCATCAAAACAAAATAAAAATTGCAGGTTGGGGTTTGCAGGGAGAGCTTCTTTCCAACTACGTAAATACCACAATACTATAGTGAGTTTATCCACAGCATGAACAATCTGAACCCCACTTTCTTCCTGTATTCTCATTTCCCCTGCCTTAATAAGAACTCCATTGGTGTCCTCTAAAATAAATACTAAAATCACCATAGAATAAAAATGTGATGTCTTTGATACAGTGAAGAATGGTTGCTTCTAAAATCCTAAATTAAAACGCGTTTTGTTTTGCTTCTTTTTATCAAGATACTGTTTGAAAAGAAAATGCTTACTTTAGAAAGCTCTTTCTCGAACTTCTGAGAAAGAACATGAGCTGTGAATTCCAAGCGTTCCACTCTGTCCACGGGAAAGGTGGTGTCTGGCAGGAAAACAGAGCACTGGCAGGTCCCACGGTCATCCACGGAGCCGGTGACATTGGAAAACAACTGCAAATAATAACAAGTTGAACATCAGTGACAAGCTGGAATCTGAGCTTTTTGGCAACTGGAGTGACAGAAATTGGCTTGTCAAGAGTACTTACAGGCAAGTAAGTGGAGTCCAATACATAAATGAATAGAATCATAGAAACAAGCTAAAACAGCTTTGTTTTCACAGGTGGGGACCACACAGCGTTTAGCCACATCGCCGTACGAAAACCACTATGTCAGTGGACTTTCCCGAAAGGAAGATTCTCCATTCTGGAGTCTTAAAGCAGATTATTCCTATCTTTATGCAAGGCAAGGGAAATAAAGAAGCTATGAGAGTGCTAAGTTCGAATTTCAATTCTAGCACTTGCTAGATGTGAAACCTCCTTAATTCTTAGTTCCTTCATCTGTAAAATAGAGATAACCTACTTCACAGGGTTGTCCTCAGTGTTAACGGAGTAATGGGAGCCAAGTCTCTGGCACAGGGTAGGTGATCAGAAAATGTCACATTCTCTTTCCTTCTACTGCTCATTTTCTCTTCCTCACCTTCACCCCAACCCCAATCCAATTCCTTTTCATCAGAATGAGGGAATCACCAAGGATGCAGGCTACAATGAAAATATATGATGCAAATTCATAGCCTCTCATCGCCTGGGAAATTGTAAATTAACATCCTTCAAAATGAGAGCCAGCCATTTGTTAGAAACTGAATAGCATATGAGCTTGAAGGTTTTGTGCAATTTTTTTAGTAAAAGTTTTTTTCCAGCTTACCATTTGCAGAAAAAGTCATTTTAAAATATTTGATGTTTCTTTAAGATATTCAGACTCACACTTCAGTGCCACTGCATATTTTTAAATGACACGTTTGAAAGATCCTGTTTTTCTTTTGTCCCCTTTGAACTTCCCCAAGAGGATCCCAGCACAATTAACATTTTTTCATTACTACTGTTGCCTTACAGAGTAACCCTTGGCAGCCAATTTGCTGTGCCTTTTAATGATCTCATCTGAAGGCCAACCCAAAGCTCACCTGTGGAACATCAGCCTGAAGGGACTTTTTATGAACCGCTAAGGAGACAGCAATGGTCTTCAGAGCTAGAAGAGACTCTGGCCATGTCTCTCAAAGTTCAGGTCAGCCAGCTGCAGGTGGTGTCATGTGTCCTGTCATTTAATGGCCACCAACCTCCATGACGCCTGAACAAGCTGGGTCTAGATGCTTCTATAATGAAGACTTATTTTATCACTGGCCTCGGGGCCAATCAAGGCTTTTGCACCTAAGTTGTTTTTAATTTAATTTAAGTTTCAAGATGAGCAAAAAATACATATATGTGTGTGTATCCAAAAGTCTCTATATGTGTTTAGTCAAAATTTACGACCTTGGCCTCAATTTTCTTTTCCAGTCACATCCCCACACGGGAAAGAGTTCAGGAGTAGGGAGGAGAAACAAGCAGATTTATGTCGAACATAGGGGTGGACAGCAGGATTTGAATAGGGCAAGGGTCTTTGCCAGAGATGAATAAAGATTGGACAAGATACACCAGGAACCTATCAGAGAGGCCAGCTTCCCTTGAAACCAGCTTTACTCATTTCTCCAAAGACAGAAAGACTCCAACTCAAGCATGCCAAGGCTTTTACAGAAAAGACCGACATATCACGGACTTTTGAAGAAATAGCTTATTATAATAACTGTCTAGCAAAAAAAAAAAAAAAATCTTGCATTGCATTTTAACAAGGGGAGTTTAATTAGCTGCACAAAACAGGGTTGGGCCATTCTCAGAGTTCTCTGAGAAACTCTGCCAACTGAGAAAACAGTGGCTATCATCAAGCAGTCTCTAGACAGTCAACTAGGAACCACTAGCTAACAACTTTTAGTACTGAAGTTCACTTGAAAGACAGGCAAATACTTATGAGCCCTGCTGACAGCCATTCCACCGGTTTCTATTGAACATCTCTGTCCCAGTGCTATGGACTCCCCCAGCTTCCATCCTGCTTATCATCAGCCCAGCATGCTCAGCTGACATCAAAATGGTCCATAAGTTTGATCAGTGTCTCCCATTAGAGATATTTCTGCTCCTCGCATTCAAAGACAATGAAGCTAATGGTGATGAGTCTCTCTCTGCGGTGAATGCTCAAACTCCACGTGAATGAAGCCTGGGGGATGGGAGACAAAGACAAGCACTTGTCCCCTCGGCCTTTGGAAGAATATGCGATTCCCCTTGTGTAGGGCAAATAGGACCCCGAGTTCCCCACAAGACACCTTATACTGGTAGGTTTTCACTAAGCATGTGTTCAATTAACATTTACTGATGTCTATACTATGCCAGGCTCTGGCTTTAGGGAGACGATTAAGACTCAATTTCTGCCCAGGAATCAGGCCCACCGTCACTATGAAAGCCCTACTTGTTTTTTCAAACCAGCCTGATAGCCTGATGAGAACAAAACACGTGACTCGCTGCAGTTCCGACTATACCAGTTACTGTGTGGAGCGGAGCATTGAGCCTTTTCTAGTCTTGCGAATTGAGGACCCTGCAGAGGCCCCTCCTCAGGAGGCAGACGTCTGAGGCAGAGAGTACTCCGAGTGCTTACAACAGAAGGTGCAACTCACATTTAAGGTGATTTAAGGTTGCAATTGGCTCTAATTAGTAGCCAAGGCTAGGCGTCAGCAAAGATTCAAGGTATAAAATAATGGTACTCAACATTTTCAGAGTACAGAAAATGATATGTTTGGAACTTACTCAGTGACAGTTATAAAAGGGTTTTCCACCACCTTCCAAAGAGCTCGTCAAGCTGACAGCCAGCCCCAGAAAATTAGGTTGATAGTGAAATTGACTCCCAAGTCCACTATAAAAAAAAGTTGGAGTTGTGATACTGACTCACCAGGGAGAGATAAGTAAAAAGGAAAATTAAAACCTCTAAGTACAATTTAACTACCATGTCTCATCTACTTTTAAATATTTGTCTTTTTACCAGACAACAGGCATTCTGGATTTCTCTGTTTCTTGATCTATATTTTCTATTATTATAGCTGATAATCTTATCCAAATGCTGGTTTCTGATGGAGAAATATTGACGGAGCTTCATAATAAATGATTATTGTTAACCTCAGTTCAAAAAAGAGTGCTAGCCAATTCTGATCATCCCCAGAAATCACTGAGTATCACGGAATAAAATTATGTATCTGATTTCTGACTGCAAAGAATCCTTGTGCCTACTTATGATTCCCAAGACTCCCTCCTCTAAAAAATAAGCAATTTTCATCTATACTCCTTGGAAATATAGAAACCTGCATGTACAGACATGGTGAAGAGAATGGACAGACTAATTTTGAGCTATATAACTTGTTAGCTTAGTGACTTAAACTCAATGACTTCACCTTGTTAAGCCTCAGTTTTCACATCTCTAAAATGGGACTATTAATTTTACCTACCTCTTAGGCTTAAATAAGATAATATAGGCCAGGTGCGGTGGCTCATGCCTGTAATCCCAGCACTTTGGGAGGCTGAGGCGGGCAGATCACAAGGTCAGGAGTTCGAGACCAGCCTGACAACACAGTGAAACCCCGTCTCTACATACAAAAATTAGTCAGGCATGGTGGCGCGCACCTGTAATCCCAGCTACTCAGGAGGCTGAGGCAGGACAATCACTTGAACCTGGTAGGCAGAGGTTGCAGTGAGCCCACATCATGCCACTGCACTCCAGCCTGGGCAACAGAGTGAGACTCTGTCTCAAAAAACAAAAAAACAAACAAAAAACAAACAAACAAAAAAGATATGTATTATGTACTTAACCTAGTCCTGGCATGTATTAGACACACAGTAAATGTTATTGCTGCTGTTTCTATCTAGGCCCTATCCAAACCATTTGTTAATTATCAAATTTGTAATATTTGCATATTTCTGATGGTCAAAATGAAAACAAATAAAAGCCTTTTCCTCCTCTTTCTCCCATTTGCCCTTCCATTCAGACACGATCATGTAAGCAGCCACCTGACCTGTGAGTAAAGATCCTAGAGACCTCTAGAGAGAGAGGAGCTTTGGCCCAGATAAGACTCCCCCACCCCAAGTTATACCTTAGTGAGAATAGCCTGGGAGGTTTGCAGAGTGGGGCTCTTGCAGAAAGGCCCAGAGTGAAATGAATAACTGCTTCTTACCTCCTAACCCCTCAGGCCCTCCAGCCTATTCTCCTTTCTTTAAAGGAGATCCAAAGAGGACCCATCCCCCAAGGAACTGGGCTCACTATGCCTTCTATGCACTTAGCCTAGCCATACCAGTCTCTTTGTAATGCATGACTTTTGGTTTTGTTTGTTGCTGCTGTTGTTTGGAGCTGGAAATGGCTCTGAAGATTCCCTATAAAGAAGATTGCAAAGAGTGAACACTCCCCTAGGGAAATGTCCCCTTGTAGTAACACTTTGCTAAAGACCAGTAACTCCGCTGCTTATTTCTGACACCCATCTGCTTTACAAACCAGGCCAAGAGAAATGGTCAGGGCTTCAACTAGAGCACTGTGGCTCTCACTCCCTCAAGGGCTACTATTCACCATCCCAGGACCCTGCCAGGCAGCAAATCAACTGGACAAACTTTCCTGGAGCTGCAACCCACAGAGTCTTCTCCTAACAGTTCCCATCCTGGACTGTATATTAGAATCACCTGGGCAGAGGTTTTTTAAACTATCTGATTTCTATACATCTATGCAGGATTTTTTTAAGTACAGAACCCAGGCATCTGTACTTTTAGTGTTCCCCCGGCCACCCATCCTATTGTGCAGCCAGATTTGAGAATTCCTCTAAAGCATAGATTTTCTCAAAAGTCCCAGCTGGAGAACTGAGATGTCGTCTCTCTTGCTAACAATTTAATTATTATGCTGAGGCTTTAATTCATTTCCAGGGCACCTATAGTTAACACAAGGAGTCGTAAATCTTTTAGAGTGCCCAGGTCTAGACATCCATGAAATTGTATTCAGGTCCCCAAAAGCAAGAGGAAGGGAATGAAGGCAGCTCATTCAGATTCTGGGGCCTCCTCACCTGGGACACAGAACCTCCGCTGCCTGAGCTGCCGTTGTAGCTGGAGCTGGAGCTGAAGCTGGAGCTGGAGTCAACGCCTGGGAAGGTGCTGAAGCTGGGGCTAGGAATTGGGGGTCCCGCATCCCCCAAATGCCCTGCAGCCTGGCCGAGGAAGAACAGAAGGGCTAGGAGAAACGAGAGGCCGGGCCTCATCTTGTCCTCTTAGCTGGAGCCTGGCTCTGCACAGAGCCCAGGGGCTTCTTATAGGGCCCAGTGGGGATTTCCCCATGGCCAGCATGTAGGAAAAGAGGAAGTGGCCAGGGAACATGTGACCTGCCCCAGGAGGGTCAGGACACCCAGGAATCTGAGTCACGGCCCACATCGTGTCCGTGAGGCCCACTCTGTGAGCTGCCCTTGGATCCAGATATCCCCTGCCAAACATTAACTCCAATGTGCTTTGTAAAGCCCAGTATTTGGTTTCCCACTTGGTACTTCCTTGAAAGAGATGGGATGGAAGTAGTCTTTGTGGATGAGACAGAGTTTGGAGGCTCCAGGGAGGAAAAGCAACCCTCAGTCCTTTGCCTCGCAGCACTTCTAATGTGGAAAGCACACTGCTTTCCACAGACAGGGAACTCGCCTTAGGGACTGTGGCTCTCCTCCCCATGTTACTGCACACTGCTTTCCACAGACAGGGAACTCGCCTTAGGGACTGTGGCTCTCCTCCCCATGTTACTGCCTACGCTTTCCACAGACAGGGAACTCGCCTTAGGGACTGTGGCTGTCCTCCCCATGTTACTGCACACTGCTTTCCACAGACAGGGAACTTGCCTTAGGGACTGTGGCTCTCCTCCCCATGTTACTGCCTACGCTTTCCACAGACAGGGAACTCGCCTTAGGGACTGTGGCTCTCCTCCCCATGTTACTGCACACTGCTTTCCACAGACAGGGAACTCGCCTTAGGGACTGTGGCTGTCCTCCCCATGTTACTGCACACTGCTTTCCACAGACAGGGAACTCGCCTTAGGGACTGTGGCTCTCCTCCCCATGTTACTGCCTACGCTTTCCACAGACAGGGAACTTGCCTTAGGGACTGTGGCTCTCCTCCCCATGTTACTGCACACTGCTTTCCACAGACAGGGAACTTGACTTAGGGACTGTGGCTCTCCTCCCCATGTTACTGCCTACGCTTTCCACAGACAGGGAACTCGCCTTAGGGACTGTGGCTCTCCTCCAAGAGCGACTGAGCTTCCCTCTTCAGTTCCTACTGCCCAAGTTGTCCTTGACCTGTCCCTTACAGTGACTGTTTCTAGACAAAGCTGTCTAACAACCCCACTCTAAAGGAGAGATCAAGGACGTTTTGTTCCCTGGCAAACCAGGTAGGACTCTGTCCTATCAAGCACTCACCGCTGGATGCTTCATGTAGGGAAGAGAAAACACCCAGATAAACAAAGGGATCCCGATGACCCACTGCCTGCTCTCCCAGGCCAGGGCACTGCCTCAAACCCAGTCAAGGAGGACCCCAGGAGCAGTTTCTCCTCCAGAAAACTTAGTCTGACCTCTGTTACCCCTCAGCTTCTTGTGAGCCAGCCACGCATTCAAGATCTCAAGCTTATTCTTCATAAAACTGAGAGATAGGATGCATTTTCTCTTGCTCAGCAGCCCTGACCCTGGGCTCCAGGATCCATTTGCCGTGCTCAACATTTCACACACCTTTGTGGCCTCTGCCTTCTCCCCTGGAGAATGAAAAAGGCGTTAGTCTCAGTATTAAGACTCAGCTCTGGGCCGGGGATGCTGGCTCACACCTGTAATCCCAGCACTTTGGGAGACCAAGGTGGGAGGATGATTTGAGCTCAAGAGTTTGAGACCAGTCTGGGCAACATGGTGAGACCCATTTTTTCTCTACAAAAAAATGAAAAAAGTAGCCAAGTGTGGTGGTATGCACCTGTAGTCCCAGCTTCTTGGGAGGCTGAGGTGGGAGGATCACCTGAGCCCAGGAGGTTGAGGCTGTGGTGAGCCATGTTCACACCACTGCACTGCAGCCTGGGTGACAGAGTAAGACTGTCTAAAAAAAAAAAAACAAACAAAAAAGCTTTGTCACAATGAGTCAGTGGCTTTGGGCATGTCACTTAGCCTCTCTAGAGTTGTAACAATTCCTAAATTGTTTGAATTAAATGAAATATTGTATGGGAAGTTGCTTATAAGCTTTGACGTGCCATAAAAATGTCAGCTTTTTCATTGTTTAATTTCCTAAAGACTAGATCAATATGTAAAATTGTTGCGTTCAAAACAAGGACAGAAGGTTCATGCCCCACTCTGTCGTCATACCACCCCACCCTCCCCAGAAGCTCCACACAAACTCTTAGAATAAGCACAGTGCTAAGGTGACAAACAGGGTCTTAAACCCCTGGTACACTATTCAGAAACTGGGGTGGTGGGGAGGGGGAAGCAGGGACAGGAAAACCACAAATGGATGAATAGAGAGTGATGAAGAACAAATACGGAGAAATGTGGGCTGTAAAGTTCATTGTTCTCTGTGGGAAGCAATTCAGCCTTGGCCTCTTTGGTCAAATGTTCTAACCACTTAGATGCCCAGTCCAAGGCAGGGAATGTGTATAGAATGTATGAGAATGAAAACTGGGAGACTGTATCCATTATTCTAAGATTGAATGCTATGAATATGGACATAAGAAGGAGAGTGTATCTCTACCTTCCATCACAATTCCCCTTTTCCTCCCGATTCCCATCAAAGCAAAGGGCAAATTTGTTCTCATTTGCTAGTAGCCTCTGCATGTAGCTGTAATGAGCCTTCCTTTTACCTTTTTTCAAGGAGCATGTTGGTGCCCTGTCAGAAAGAAAGTCTCATTAACAATAGTATAGCCTGTAGTCATGACTACCTTTAAGGGCTCCTATGGCCAATTCAGTAGAAGACCCCTTACCAGAGGGGTTGCAATGCTGCAGAAATAGGACAGCAGTTCTCCCAAGCACAAATGTGCCTTAGCCAGGGAAGAACCACCACCCACTGTGCTCGTAAGCTTCTTTGTTCTTGTATGGCTCCAGAGTTTCCAGAATAAAACTTTAATCTATTTGGTACCCTCAAATGCACAAAAGCATTGGTGATGCCTCAGTAATGAGATTATTAATAATAATGAGATTATTAATAAAAATAGTTTGATCAGTTTCCCTGCAAATACCTTTGTCCTAAGAAACAAGCAGCCTCCTTGTTATTTGACAGACTCAAAGACAGGAACAAAATTATCAGAGCTGCAAAGCAAAGAAAGCAAAGTGTATTATTTGTAAAAATGTGTTCTCTCCTGGGTTCCTTCTAGAGTAAGGGGTCACTGAAATTCAATTGAGTAATACAGCAATCTTCATTGACAGTTTGAAAGAAAATTACTGTTTATGCACTTCATTAGGGAACCTTCCCAAACCATATTTCTTGAACAGTTGCAACACACAAGGAAGACATCCGTGTAGATATAACTTTAATTTAATCCTCCTGTCATTAAAAATCAAACATACTGCTGCACTTTTGCAAGAGGTTGTCTACAGGGTATCTGGTGTATACGAAGATAACAGAGGCTGTGTTTAGTCTACAGATTGGCAATAGAGGCTTTTCATATCAGTTGACTACATCATCAACAACCCTCAAATTTCTATTAGCAATATCAATAATCGTGTGTATAAGTAATAATCAGCTGACCCCATTTATTTACCTTAGAAAGTGGTCCCTCAGTTAACAATGTGTATTAGAGCCTACTCTGTACAGAATACCAGGCTCTATGATGATAAGGAAAGAAGAAAGCATAATTTTTTCTTATGAAAATGCCTAGTCACTTATGGAAGGCAAGCCACTTCTACTAGGAATAAACACAAATTGAACACAAAACCAGTTAAATGAATACTGAGAAATGACTGGATAGACTCCGGTGACCCAAGGTGGGTTGAAGTGTGAAGAATTTGCCAGGTGCTGAGCTTCTTAGGGATGGAGACCATGGCTTCACTGGTTTTCAATCTCCGGCACCTAGCCCAGTGCTCGGCATTTGGTGTCTAATAAATGTTTGTACACTGAGGAATATATTTAATAAATGAATGCATGCATGCATGAATGAGTGGATTGATTTAATAAGAATTGTGAAGGAAATTCTTAAATAACTATTGGAGAAAATACTTATTTTTTTAAAATTAGTGTTGAAGAAAAGGGAGTGATTTCCAAGCAAGAGAAATTATACAAGTAAAATAACATAGGCAGCCCAAATTCTCTCTAGGGTCATGATTATGCCCTTGTACCTACAATCTCATGTAGCCCACTCTAGCAACTCATACTTAGATTCAAGTTCTTAAGGTTATTCCTCAGCCTGACCTGAACCCCATATCAACATTCTCACTCCCTAAGCATATCCTATATCAAGAACTACCTAAATTTTGCCATGTTATTTTGGTTTAGAAGATTAAAACCCCCAATTACAGAATTTTCAGCCAAATACTTATGTTTTCAATCTGCAGCAAAATCATTCCTGTTGACAAAATGCAGAACCAAACTAGTAAAAACGGCAACTAATGGAAACCAGGGCAAACATCTATGCAAATGCAGAAAGGCAACAATAACCAAAGGGTGAAAGGTAGCATATACTAATTTGGGAGAGAAAAGAGAAGCTTTATACCCTCCACAGAGAAAGTTTGGACTAATGAACCATAACAGTGCCCAGAAGCATTTCCCCACCACCATCACAAGGGAAACACCAAACTTCAGGTTTATCTCTGGACCCCACTAGATGGAATCTGCCCAGAGACCTAGAACCAGACTGCCCTCTAAATTCCTCTTGCCATCTCCTGACTAAGCATTGAAGCACACCTTCACTTCACCTCAACATCAATACCCGGGTTTTTCATATCCCATACCTCTTGGATATTGTAAATCACCCACAGGTTCCTCCAAGGCCAGGTGAGTTGGTTTCTGCAGCCAGAGGCAAAGAGCACCCTCTCCTTGCTCATCTGCCCCAATACAGAAGCCTTTGCCTGCCTCCCATCCAAACCACCCGAGTTCTGAGTGATACCTGTTATCTCCGTAGTTAGTTGCACGTGTCTAACCCCCACACCTCTCGCTGTAAGAGGCAAACTCTTCCTACACCTATTGGACACTGTCACCCAGAAATTTTAAGTACGACCACTGCAACTATTTTAAGCATTTTCAAATTTAGTCATACCTTCTATTTTTCTGTTGCTGTTACTTCCCTGCCCAAATATTCTCAAACTGTGTTATGGACTAAATGTTTGTGTCTGCAAAATTCAAGATTGAAAAATCTTAAG